TCTGTCCTAAAGAAATGGCCAAATATTAAAGATTAAGTGGACATTTGAATTAAATGGTGCTTGGTCAATATTAAACGAGTATTAGTTCGCAATGTGTAAAAATAATCATCACCCCTCTAGGTGACTCTTGTGAGAGGGGAAGCAGCACGGACTGTGCTTTCACACAGAAGTCTGCTACTGATCCGTGGCTGTTTACCACAACATTTATCCATTATTTTGATTTCAAATTTAAACATTGTCACTGAAAATGCTTTTTCAGCATTGCAATTTTTTTTTACACAGTACAGTAATACACAGACATGTTTAAACACAATAAATATAAACACATTATTCAATGCTTTTTACTTTTGCAGTTACTTCTAGATGTGTATATATTAAGTTGCTCAAGCAAGTGTCAAAACATTTAAACTGCTTTTCTTACGTTATCACAAACTTACCATTGACAGAAATAGTCAGCTCTACTGCCTTTACTTTTGCATTGAAATCTTTATTACAAGCAAACCTGCGATTCATAAAGAACTTTCCTACCTTTTCCTACCTCCACGAGTGCCATCTATTATTGCCTTGTTTATCTAAAAGTGCTCTTTTCCTTTAAACCTAGCCAAAAAGCCATATGTGTTGATTGTGAAACACAGTAGACTTTAATAATATGCATTTATGGTGTAATTACTACATTTTCGTGTCAATCCATGTTCATATTTACTGCAAACAATGTGCTGTTACTTTAATTCAGAGCTTGCAGCGCAGCAATAGACTCGGTGTGGAAACAATCTCTGCACTGCTGCAGACGCACCGCTCCTGAATGCACTGCCGGACAGCAACCGTGTGCAGTGTGCACGCTTTATTAATCCGTTAACATAAGCGCGGAAAAAATATGCACTGCAAACGGAGTAATGTGAACCTGGCATGTGTGTGCGCTGCGAGTGTGCATGACCGTACAGTCTCCAGGAGAGCGCGCGAGCGCTGAATGGTTAAACACTGGCAAAAATTCAAATGTAATGCAATTTATAAACTTTAGTGACGATTCCTGTCTCAACTGTGCAGCCTGCAGCTTGCTTATAATGCAGACGTGATGTGGTGATTTGAAGCCATTTGTGTATTTTGAGAGAGAAAAAGTGAGCGCGCGCGGTGATTCACTCATGCTGTTTGTGAAATTGTATCGCACAAGGTTTTCAAATTACTTTATAAGTTATTTAATGAAGAAATATGAAGGCGAGCACCTCACCTTCACCATTATAATTTTCACCCGCGCAGGACAGAGACTGAGACAGTGCCGCTGCATGTCGTGCCAAACGCTGTTACTTTAATTCAGAGCTTGCAGCGCAGCAATAGACTCGGTGTGGAAACAATCTCTGCACTGCTGCAGACGCACCGCTCCTGAATGCACTGCCGGACAGCAACCGTGTGCAGTGTGCACGCTTTATTAATCCGTTAACATAAGCGCGGAAAAAATATGCACTGCAAACGGAGTAATGTGAACCTGGCATGTGTGTGCGCTGCGAGTGTGCATGACCGTACAGTCTCCAGGAGAGCGCGCGAGCGCTGAATGGTTAAACACTGGCAAAAATTCAAATGTAATGCAATTTATAAACTTTAGTGACGATTCCTGTCTCAACTGTGCAGCCTGCAGCTTGCTTATAATGCAGACGTGATGTGGTGATTTGAAGCCATTTGTGTATTTTGAGAGAGAAAAAGTGAGCGCGCGCGGTGATTCACTCATGCTGTTTGTGAAATTGTATCGCACAAGGTTTTCAAATTACTTTATAAGTTATTTAATGAAGAAATATGAAGGCGAGCACCTCACCTTCACCATTATAATTTTCACCCGCGCAGGACAGAGACTGAGACAGTGCCGCTGCATGTCGTGCCAAACCTCTCACGGCAGCGTCATCAGCTTGAGATCGGTCTTTTGAGATCGACCTTTTTAGAGACCGCCGATCAATCATCCCAACGTGATTATCAGCCGATAGTGATCGGTAGCCGATCAATCGGAGCACCCCTATTTCCATTTATGGGTCAACCGATATGTGTTTTTCAGGGCCAATACCGATTATTACAGATCAAGTAGACCGATAACCGATATATGTCTAGTGTAAAAATGAAAATTAATGTCAAACGTCATCAGCTTGAGATCGTTTTTTTGAGATCGGCCTTTTTAGAGACCGCCGATCAATCATCCCAACGTGATTATCAGCCGATAGTGATCGGTAGCCGATCAATCGGAGCACCCCTATTTCCATTTATGGGTCAACCGATATGTGTTTTTCAGGGCCAATACCGATTATTACAGATCAAGTAGACCGATAACCGATATATGTCTAGTGTAAAAATGAAAATTAATGTCAAAATTAAGAATAACCAGGGCTCTGACAAAAACTGCCTTTCCTGGTGTTGGTTGAGTTGTACTCCCACACTGCACTTTTTTTTTTACTCTTGTCTTCCTCCGTGCATCCATCTACAATAAGGGTAATATAAAGAGAGAGTTAAAAGTGGGGCCACTGTATTCATGATTAAGCCTATGAATACTGTGCTCCACTCCTTGTGAAGCTCTCCCAAGTGTTTGAATCAGCTTTGCTTGACAGTATTCTCAAGTTTGCGGTCATCCCTGTTGCTTGTGCACCTTTTCCTACCCAATTTCTTCCTGCCAGTCATGAATACTGTACTACAGCTAAACAGCTTGGGGAAATGTAAGTATGTGGCTTCAATAATTTACATGTTAGAAATGTATGTGTAATAGCATAACCTCTCATACTTCATTAATAATTTTCTGATGACTAAAAAAAAACCTACAATAGAGGTGACTATTCAATTCATCTAATATACATCAATAGATTAACTTAAAAATGTATATAAGTGTAAATAAGTTAATTGTCTTCATAGCTATATTGTAGAAGTTGTTTAGAAGACTGCAACTATTTTCATGAAACTATAACTCTAATAGCCTTTTACAGGCACACTTAGTTCAATAGACTATTGAAATGTCTTGGCCTATGTGACACTAGAAATTTCAGTTAGATTTAATTTACAGTACAGTGCAAATGAAGGCATAAATCAGTTTAATTTATCTTTTAATCAAATTAGTTAAACTCTTTATTTTTTGGCAAAGGGTTTACTATTAAAATTAAAACATGGAATAAATAGCGTATTGTGATTTATTGTTTTAAACAAAAGTTGTAATTGTTGTAGTAGTATTATGCATATCATACTGCACCACAGTAATATATTTCTGATAATTTCTTTAAGCTAACCCAAACTTATATTTTGCCATGAGGAACTTAAGTTTCTGTAGCCTATGTACGTGTTTCCCATACATTGATTTATTTGTGGCGCCCGCCACAATATCAAAACTGACCGCCACAAATAGATTTTCCAAAAGGCGTTGACTTCATTGAATAAACATGAGCACTGCACGTGTCAAAGTCGAAACCCGGTGCGGGTGTTTTCATATTACTGTATTTCTTAAGGAAACTGACTGTCTTCAGAAAATTATGGATGTTATTATCATTTCATGTTGCCTGTAATGCCTGATAAAGCAGCGTTTGTGAGTGCAGCGCTTATTTGATTACAGCCAATATCTGATAAAGCAGCGTTTGTGAGTGGAGCGCTGCTTTGTGTACAGCGTTACCGGGAAAAAACCTCGAGCTCTACCACTCCAACAGCGCCTCCTGCTGCCAGAGAATGAATTTGCATATATATGCTTCTACAAGTCTGTGGGAAACACTGCAATAGTTTTACTCAAGTGAAACTGTCAAATGATCATGAAGTGACTCTCAGAGGGAGTCAGAGCAGTTCTGGAGATGATGTTCATGTATTTATGTCCTCATGTAGTGAGACGACAGAAGCTGAAATCACCGCGAGCGTCACACACTT